GGGATGCCCTAAGAGGTAAAAGGGAAGAGAAATACTTTCAAAGAACTCCAGTCACCTTACTTTCCATTGTGCATGAGAGGAGAGTGACCAGAGATAATGATCTATACTAATTCATGGATGATATCTAACAATCTGGCCAGATGGTCAAAGCTTTAGAAGGAATTAGGTGACAAGAAGGTATAAGAATGGAGCTCTCGAACGCACAGAAAGTATGAAAATATTTGTTTTCCGTGGGAATGCTAATCAAAAGTTACCGTGGGGCTTCCCTGGTGGTGCAGTGGTTGAGAGTCCGCCTGCCGATGCAGGGGACACGGGTACATGCCCCGGTCTGGGAGGATCCCACATGCCGTGGAGCGGCTAGACCCATGAGCCATGGCCGCTGAGCCTGCGCGTCCGGAGCCTGTGCTCCGCAACGGGAGAGGCCACAACAGTGAGAGGCCCGCGTACTGCAAAAAAAATAAAAATAAATAAAAATAAATAAAGTTCTGTCAAAAGTTATGTTTCCTGTCCCCATAACTCGGGCTCTGCAGATTCTGAGATCTTAGTTCCTAAGAATGGAGAATTTCTACCAGGGATTTAACTTGAAGCTCAGATTGCAACCTGGCAATATTGGATTTCCAATGTCATTGAAATAACAACAGAAGAAGGAAATACTGTACTGACTGGGATGACTAATCCTGATTAACAAGGGGAAATAGGACTGATGCTACCGTAAGGAATGAAAAATGTACACGAATTCAGGGATTATCTGAGTGTGTCTGTTAATACTTCCAATATTGTTAACGAAAAATCAGAGCTACCCAACTAATGTCTTGGACCAATCAGGAATGAAGTTTAGGGTTACTCTGCCCAACAAAAGCCCATAACCACCTCAATGTTGACTAAGGACAAAGTGAATATGAAATAGGTAATAGAAAAAGTAGGTTCTAAACCAATTATAGCATTATGATCAGTCACAGAAAGGACTACAGTAATTGTGCTTATATTCTTGCTTGCTATATTATGTATATATTATATGAGCCAAGTTAATTTTCTCCTACTAGTTTATGTAAGGAGTGTTGGTGGTTACATCTCTAGCTTAGTCTGCAAGTTATGGGATATTAAATAGGGATTGTGACTGAGCTGAAAAAGAACAAATATCCAGAGGTGGGTACAGTGACATTTGAATTTTCATGCCTTGCCTTTGGAGGGAGAGAGTAAGTACATCTTCATTAGACTGAGGGATGACTGCAGCAGGTCAGTGAAAAGAAAAACATCGCTGCTATTTGGAAATTTAAACACAGATATATGGAGAACCAACTAGATATTGTGTCTTGATATGTAGTATGATCCCTGTTCTTTTAAACTGTGTCTTGTAACATGGGGCTTGACAGTTTGGAAGCTACGTTAACTAGATTTACTGGCCAGTGGGGATTTGGTTTAAATTCTGCCAACGGAAGCCATTTGTATGAGATTTGGAAGTAGAAAATACAGAGAAGCCACTATTCTCCAGGAGCAGCTGGGCATCTGCAGATGGCAGGTATGGGGTTTTGCCAGTGGCTGTCAGGTGTCCTTCTGTAATGCTGTGGGCAGCATACATCATTGGTGGCGGTTTACTTGGATTCTTCTACTTTCTGATTATTTGATGTTATTTTTAGTTTCCTTGACCTTGCAATAATTGTGTAAGATCATAATTCCCTGTATTATACCCCTTCCTCCTTAAAATACCTAGCAATAGTTTCTATTTCTCTGATCAAATCCTAATATATATATTGTATCTTTATTCCTATATTTGGCCATTGGCTACTACAAAGACTTTATAAGACTGTGTGGGGCTTCCCTGGTGGCACAGTGGTTAAGAATCCGCCTGTCAATGCAGGGGGCTGGGTTCGAGCCCTGGTCCGGGAAGATCCCACATGCCACAGAGCAACTAAGCTCATGCACCACAACTACTGAGCCTGCGCTCTAGAGCCTGTGAGCCACAACTACTGAGCCCACAAGCCACAACTACTGAAGCCCGCACGCCTAGAACCCGTGCTCCGCAACAAGAGAAGCCAGCACAATGAGAAGCCTGTGTACCGCAACAAAGAGTAGCCCCCGCTCGCCGCAATTAGAGAAAGCCCACGCGCAGCAACAAAAACCCAATGCAGCCAAAAATAAATGATAATAAATAAATATTTTTAAAATCTTATAAAAAAAAAGACTATGTGAGGTGAACAATGAAAATATATTTCCAAATATATTTCAAAATGTACACATAGGGCTTCCCTGGTGGCGCAGTGGTTGAGAGTCTGCTTGCCGATGCAGGGGACACGGGTTCGTGCCCCAGTCCGGGAGGATCCCACATGCCGCGGAGTGGCTAGGCCCGTGAGCCATGGCTGCTGAGCCTGCGCGTCCGGAGCCTGTGCTCCGCAACGGGAGAGGCCACAATGGTGAGAGGCCCGCGTACAGCAAAAAAAAAAAAAAAAAAAGTACGCCTAAATAAGTGCTTACGTGCAGCATTGTCTTACAATACAAAGATAGCCCATAAATGGTATATTTAAATATACTGCACATTGTGTATTATAGCTCAAGTGGTTCAGTAATAGTCAAAACAAAATACATTTAATTTGTCTGCTTGAATATTTAACCAACTCATATTTATTATGTTGGTATCCCAAAATGTTACCCTGCTGAAGTTTCTGCCAGTTTAACTTACTGTGAGTTTGCCAGCATAAATGGAAATAGAAGAACAGGTTTCGTTGTGTGAAAATCATCACAGATCCAACCATATGCTTTTTGAAAACATTATTATTTAAAATTTATTTTTATCTTACTTGAACTGCATATTCTTCTGTGTCACAAAGGGGAAAGGAAAGGAGAGTGATAGTTACTTTCAGCAAAGAAGACTGTATTTATTTTTTCTTTTAGTTAGACAAGCTAACTCTCCTCCATGTCTTTTAGTCAAACTGCCTGGAAAAGCTTTGTATTTCTAATGGTGTGTCAGCATTTTTTGAGTGACACTCTGCCGATTTAAAAGAAAGGAAAAAATATTTCTAGGATGGAAACCAAATATCTCAAAATGGAGTAGATTCATTATGGAAACTTTTTAAAAATAGTGTTTTAAAGAATATATTCACTTTTAAAAAACTGCCAAATAATTTTTAATCAGCCCAGTATATTTCTAGGCAAATTATTTCAAAACAGATGTTTGTTTAAAAAAAGAAGAAAAGAAATATTGAAGATTCTCAAAAGACTTTAGGAGATGAAGTGCAAGCTCCTTGGTGTAACCCACACTCTGAGAGCATCACTCCCGCCTACTGACGCTCCATCACCCTGTGGACTGGCACACCACCACAGCGTTTCCATGTGTGACCATTTGCTGCTCCTGGACATACCAACACTTTCAGCTCCTGCTTGAGCAACGCTTGGATCTGAATCCCATTAGCCACCTGTAAATGTCTTTAGTGGTTTATATGTATCTTTTCAACTGGATTGAGTTTGGTAAGTGTAGAGATTCTTTGATTCATTTGTGTATTAATGGTGCTTAGCAAATGTAGTCGTAGTTACCAACAAATGGTCGAGAAATACATGAAATGAGTGAATGAATCATAGGATTTTAGAGTTGGAAGGAATATTAGGGGTTTTACTGTCCAAATTCCGTGTTTCACAAAAGGAAAATGAGGCTCAGTGAGGCTTTGGTTTGGTCAAACTCACACAGTAGAAAAGTAATGTTGCTGGTCCTGAAACACAGTTATCTCAGCTCTCCATTCAGAGGCCTTTCTACCCTTTCACTCCTGGCTAATTTGGAATTTTACTTGGAGGGATTGTGGTCCTTTTTTTAAATATTTCACTGTGATACTCCTAATATCCTTGGGGACATCATTCACATTTTAAAAATAATTGGAGAAAAGTACCTATAACTTCAGGCATTCAAATAACTACAGTAGCCCTCTAGTTTTTCAGCTGCCTCTGTCTGTTAGTATTTCAACACTTTATAAAACAGTAGCACCATTGTGGCAATTATATAGTACTTCTATTATGGGTATAGATATTCTATAGCTATATGTGACTTTTTATTATTAAGTTGTCAGAGTTCTTTATAAATTCTGGATACAAGTCTTTGTCAGAGAGATAGATGAAATATCTATCTATCATCTATTTATCTATCACCTATCTATCTATCTAAAATTTCTACCCAGAATGTGAGAACATATTTTCATTATCTTCCTAGTATTTCTTGATGAGTAGAAATATTAAATTGTGATGAAGTCTAATTTATCCATTTTTAAAATTTTTATGGTTAATACTTTCTGTGCCTGTAAGTACTCTTTGCCTAGCCCCCACATCATTAAGGTATTCTTTATGTCTTCTTTGAGAAATTTTATAGAGTTTGCTTTAAAGTTTAGGACTATTTTCAACTTAAGTTAATTTTTTGTATGGTGTGAGGTAGGACTTGACCTTAATTGTTTTTTCATATATTCATCTAATTGTTGCAATATTATCTATTTATGGAAAAGGTTTTCTTTCTCCATTTAGTAGATTTGACATCATTCTTGAGAGTCAATTCATTATATATAGGTAGGTCTATTTCTGTACTCCCTATTTTGTATTGTTGATTGTATTGTCTATTGTCTTAGCAAACTCACTCTGTCTTGATTATTGTAGCTTTATGGTAAGTCTTTAAATCAAGTGGGCATAAGTCCTGCAGTTGTATTCTTCTCTTTCAAATAGCTTTTTGCTATTCTAGGTCCTTTTCATTTCCAAATAAATTTTAGAATCCGCTTGACCAGTCACACCATGCAATTCATTGAATCTATAGATCAATGTCAGGACAAAAGACATGTGAACAATATTACCTTCCAATCTATGAACATGGATTTTTTTCTGCTCCTTCATTTAAATCTTCATTTCTCTCAGCAGTGTCTTGTTATTTTCATGAAAGAGATTATGCATCTTTTTGCAAATTTTTTCCTAAAAACAGGCATACCTTTGGAGATATTGCGGGTTTGGTTCCAGACCATCGCAAGACAGCAAACACTGTGCTCGCTTCAGCAGCACATATGCTAAAATAGGAATGATACAGAGAAGATTAGTATGGCCCCTGCACAAGGATGACACAGAAATTCGTGAAGCGTTCCATATTTTTGAGAAACGTGAACTCGCCAAACAAAGATTTCAGTGTAAATGTTGTCTTTACCAAATGAAGTTAAAGGAACAAGTTATATTTAAAGTTTGAATGGAAGAGCCTGCCATTGTTGTTCCACATCTTGTTGTTGCTGTTTACAGTCTTTTACTGAGCCTACATCTTCATAAGATTCTTGGCAGGTATATGTTGGACACTTCTGTTTCGTGGTCAAGGCAAGATCAGAGGCCACGGATACTGACAGCTGATTTGTCTGTTTTCTTCTGTCTTCTTCCATGACTGTATCTACTGCCTCATCTTGATTTACAAGCAAAACCTAGAAAACCTACAAAAATAAGTGTTCTGTAGTTTATCTAGGAATAATGCAGAAAATATTGCTGTTATTTTTGGTGAAGAAAATCAATTTGTATAGTTTATTTCAACCTAAATAAAAGGTGAATTTTGTTTTAAAAAAATAAACAGCAAACATTGCAGTAAAGCAAGTCACACAAATTTTTTAGTTTCCTAGTGCATATAATGGTTATGTTTACACTATACTGAAGTCTATTCAATGTGCTATAGTGTATGTCTGAAAAAAAAAAAAGGTACATACCTTAACTTAAAAAAAACTGTTGGAAAAATGGCTCCAATATACTTGCTTGACATAGGTTGCCACAAACCTTCAATTTGTAAAAAAATATAGTACAGGGACTTCCCTGGTGGTGCAGTGGTTAAGACTCTGTGCTCCCAAAGCAGGGAGCCGGGGTTTGATCCCTGGTCAGGGAACTAGATCCCACATGCATGCCGCAACTAAGAGCTCACAAGCCACAACTAAGGAGCCCACCTGCTGCAACTAAGACCCAGCACTACCAAATAAATCAATAAATATATTTTTTAAACGTGATACATGGCAACCTCAATAAAGTGAAGCACAATAAAATGAAGTATTCCTGTATTGTATTTTCGATGCTATATTTTTTAATTGAGAAGGCAAAACCCTACTATCTTATTTCAAGATTTCTTAGTCCCACTTGCATTCAAATAAATTGTAGAAAAAATTTTATTTGCTGGGCAGTGCTTAAATCTTGGAATGTAATTCCACATTGATGTAACTATTACAAAATAGTAGTAACTACAATTATAAAATGGTATTTATTGATCCATGCTAGCTCATCAAAAAAATAATAGTAAAAAGGAGTCATATACAATAAATGAATCTGTAGTAGCACTGAAATGCTTCTTCACTCTCCAGCTTAATTTATCTTTCTAAATTAACCATCGGATATTGGACTCTTAAGTACCATTCATGGTTAAGTGTACACTGCTTAATAGACCATGTGATGTAAAGATGTCAAACAGGATTGGTGGTGACCACAGAGGCTGCAGTTTAGTACAGAAGCCTACAGTTAACATACGACTTCTATCTGAGTAACTAAGGATAGCTATGAAATCTGCAAAGGAAGCTAGAAGAGACCAACAGAACAAAGAGGTAGCGTGAGTCTAGCCACTGTGAGCCGGTTATGCATCCTTGCATTTCAGCAAGGGTGGGCAAGATAAAATTACTTACTACTCCCCTTATTTACTCAAAACAACAATATATTTCTATTCCCTGAATCTTGCCAATGGTCTCATTTCATTGCACATATCAAAATGTAAGAAATCAGTCCTAATAACAAAATGATCACATATTCAGAAGAAATATATATAATGTATTCAGAATGCATATCAGTGTATACTGGTGGCCTTCTCTTCAACTTTCATGCTCCAGAATGTGTAAGGTGATTATATCCCTGGCATTTCCTCTTTTATATCAGATATGGGCTGTTTGAAAACTATTTCATCATCACCTTCTGTTTCATCCACTTGGCAATTTTCACTTCTCCGTCAGTGTTGATGTACAAACTGTTGTGTGACCCTGGCTATCCATAATCATCTTCAGAGGGTCAGAATACCTAAAACCTCTTTATCTTCTTTGATAAAACCTGGCAATTCATAGAGCTCTGATAACCAGTCCTTGAGATATTTTTTTTCTTTTTCCATAAGACCAGCGAAGGAAGATCACAATCTATTCCTAATTTAGCTCTTTTTTTCCTATTTTTTCTTGGTTTTTAAATTCCTTCTCCATTTTGAGCTTCTGTTTAAGTATTCACTTCTTCTTCTACTATTCCACTGGTAGTATATGATGTCTTTGAAAATAGAACATCCCAGTCTTTAAAAATTTCTTTGGGTAATTTTTCAGATGACATAAACTTACACTTCAAGATTCTTTGCCAAAATGGTAGCTGTTCATTGTTTCAGTCACTATCTTGGCAATATCTTCATATTCAAACTCAAAGAAGGCACAGGTTTTGTAATGTCCAGTCTTTTTTACTTCTGGGCAATCGAAGTGTTTTAATGATGTCAGGCTGGGAGCTGGGGTTCAAAAAGCCCTCCAAGTGTATGACCCACAGAGACTACTCCAAAAGGAAGTTCTCCTTGCTGGATGCGCCCTGGTGGACCTCCCATCTCCTTACTTCTCAAACTTCACCTGCTACTGCAGGTTAAGTGACAGTAGCATCTTGCCATACCTGCATAAAACAATTTGTGGAGCCTATGCACTCCACCTTATGCTCCTGGAAAATCTTTTTGATGCTCTTTTAAATAGCATTTAAAAATTAATTTTCTAATTATTTTTTCATAGTATATAGTAACACAATTGACATTTGTATATTAATCTTCTATCCTATCACCCTGCTAAATTTTATTTGTAGTAAAAATTTTAGATCCCATTGGACTTCCACATAAACCAAAAGGTCATCTGTGAATAAAAATGGTTCTAATTTTTCTTTTCCCATTGGTACCCTTTTCTGGTTATACGAAGTAGCTTTTTTCCTAAAATTAGGGGAAATGAGTTCAATTTTAGCATTAATTATGATGTATGTTATAGGTTTTCATAGATCTCTTTATCAGATTGTGGAACTTTCCATCTACTCCTACATTGCTAAGAGTTTTCCCATAAATAGATGTTGCATTTTGTCAATTTTTTTCTCCTTCTATTGAGATAATTGCATGCTTTTTTACTTTTTATGTTTATGTACAAACAAGTAAAATTATCTTTGTACAAGACCTATTTTTATACAAAAATTCCTGCCGAATCTACTAAAAACTATTAGGATTAATATTTGTTAGTGACTGACTGGGCTATGTTAGTGAATTCTATTTGCTCTGCAGTGTAAGCTTCTGATGTTGCTGTTCAAAAAGTGCAGCCTTGGGGCATGCACAGTCACCCTGGGATGACAGTAGTTTTAGCAAAGCTCTCTTTGACTTTCTCTTTCCCTGATTGCTTCCAGCTGTTATCCTCTACTAAATTCCAGATGATTGCCTTTTTGATTTCGGCAATGCTCGGGTGAATACATTGCTCCACAGATTGATCCAATTAGATTCAGACTCCTTCGCAGGGGTAGTTTTTGAGGTCAATGTTTGAGGTTTGTTCTGACCCTAAGAGGGCTCTTCTTCATTGTCTCTTTTACTTCTTCTCACTGGCAAACTAACTGGCCTATAGTTTAGCTTGTACCTTTCGTGAAGCTACCAGCCTCCTCTTAATTGGTTAGTACCAAAACCACCACTGCTTCTGAGAGCATTGTTTGGCTTGAACTTTCTCACACTCTGTTCCCCAGAAGCTTAATTCATTTGGGGAGATTTTTGAAGCTTTCTGTTTTATGTCTGTTGTTTCATCTGGGCAAAATTTCTGAGCCATGGCTCTGGATCTGGGGCAAGGATAGTTGCTCACTTCTCTCACAGTCTTGCATTAATAGTAGGGTGCTGGGTGAGTGGAGGAACCTTTGGTATTCTTGGCTAGCCTCTCCAGGCATTGGATCCCACCCGACAAATGAACTGGGGTGAAAGCCATGAGGGTCTCAGTATTCTCAGCATGCCAGGCTTGAGGTTGAGCCTCTGTCTTGTTAGTGGGATGTTGGTGGAAGAAGTGATCCCCTTGTAGTTGTGCTCCTCTGGAATTTAGTCTCTGCAACATATATGTGGATGTAATGAGAAGTACTAGTGGCCTGCCCATGCCAGGAAGATACTTGTCTCAGTCCATTTGGGCTGCTATCCAAAACACCACAACCTGGATAGCTTGTAAAAACAGAAATTTATTTTTCATGTTCTAGATGCTGGAAGTTTGAGATCAGGTTCCAACATGATCAGGAGAGGGTCCTCTTCCAGACTGCAGAATTCTCATTGTATCCTCACACAGTGGAAGGGAGTTAAGGATCCCTCTGGAACCTCTTTTATAAAGGCTCTAATCCCATTCATGAGGAGTCCACCCTCATGATTTAAGTGCCTCCTAAAAGTCTCACCTCTTATTACCATCACCTTTGGGGATTAGGATTTTAACATATGAATTTTAGGGGGACACAAACATTCAGATCATAGCAATACTATATCCCTCAACAGGGACCCAGAGGAAGATGAAGACCTGTGTTCTGCAACCACCTGGAGTGGAGTTTCCATCTTGCTGAGCTGGGCAGAGTGAAGAAAAGTGTGGGTTGTAGTTCAAATGCCACATACGCTCCCTGTTCTATAGAGTTTAAGTAGATTTTCTTGATAATCTTTCATTTCCTATATGCCTTAGGACAATTTCCCAAGGCTTTAAATGGTTTGGTTTTTCTAATAATTTTCATCAGTTATGCTTGTTTTTCTGGGTAGGGGGTCCAGAGGACTCCTCTTGCTACCATCCTAGACTAGAAGTTCCAAAATCCACTCAGTCCTATCTAGTACCTTTTTCATTTTCAGACATCATACTATTCTAGTCTACCACTTCCATTTGTTCTTATTTATACTTACCATTCCTCTCATAATATTTCCTTTTTGTTCCCTCATTATGTTAATATTTTCTTTTAAATTCTTGAATAGCATTACAGTAAGAGTTTTAACATCCTGTCTGCTAATTCCAACATCTTGGTCATTTCAGGGTCTGTTTCTGTTGCTTGGCTTTTTGTTTTTCTTGATTATTGGTCAATTTTTCTGGTTTTTATTTGCATGAT